TGTCTTAGAGTCAGGTCTCAGCCAAGGAAGTTCTCCATTACGCCTCAGCTCTGCTAACCTGGCATTCAGTTTATGAGCTAGAATAATTGTTAGAGGCATACATTCTTCTGTTTCATCAGTTGCATAACCAAACATCAAACCCTACAGGGGGAGAAAATATACTTCAATTACTGTTAATGGCACCACAATCAAAGACAATGAGATTTCATCTGAAGCAAAGAGTAAACAGCACCCTCAGGTTTACTTTCTACTGTTTTACATTACAGTGCAAGAAGCCTAAACTTGGGTCAGGCTCCAACATGTTACAGTGTAATGAGAAACAAACCATGTTCCTAGATTTTTCGACTGAAAGCCTGAAGGTTTACATGTTGAACTGGAAACTTGGACAAAAATGGAGACGTTTCTGTGAAAAAAACCCCACCATTCTTTCACAGAAAAAAAATCTGCTGGAGAAAAAGGTTAAGGACTATTTTGTTATAAAAAGATGCTATCAGTAGTCTGAAAAGGTTGCAGAGGCTTTTGTGCATGAGTACAGACACACACACTGCAGGTCACACCTGAAATGACAGTGGAATGGGATGCCAGCACTCCATGAAGGACACACCATTCACCAGTTTAAGGCACCTGCCTCAGATTTTTCAGTGCCATATGCTTCTTAGTCACAGCTTCTACCAGTATTCACTCATGTTTCCTGCACCAGATTATAATTTGTTAAATAGAGTTAGGAGCATTTCCTTTTATCTCATCAAGTGTATGTTGTGGGGAAAAAAAAAAAAAAAGACAGGAATGTACTTTGATGGGAATGGGAAGAGAGGCTACCAAAGTGCCAAAGAAAGTCAAAGTGCCCAAGAATATATCTTTTCATCTTACGTAGTGTTATGACTCCATGACAGTGTAAAAGCATTTTAATTTAGCCCTTAAGGGATTTTTTGAACAATATTACTTTGCGTCCTGTACTCTGATACCTTCACTTACAGTTTTCAACAGCACTGTTATAAACTAGATATTACTTCTAATGATAACTACTGTAAATGCTGAACTCACTCATACTGGCATCAGTCAGATTATGGAGTTTTTGTGTTGGTATCTCTCTCTTGGGAATATACCATAATTACCTATATTACCTATTTAGCTCATAGAAATGCAGTTCGGACAGCCTTAATTATGTGGAACACCTACTACAATATCTGCCTCTGGGAAATAAGTGAAAATTAAAAGCACTCTGGCACTCTTTGTACTAATGCTGAGGACAGTTGAAACATCACCTAATTTTTGGATGTGCAAAATCTCAAGAGCTCTGTGAAAGTGAAAAGATCTTTTGTTTATTCCACCTTACATGACAAGTCTGGCTGCAAGATGAATGGACTGATGAACCTAAATCTACTCAGCAAAAACATGAAATATGTAAGCAAAAAAACTTTTGCTAAGTTCTATAGGGCACCTCCTCAGCTACTACCAAATGCCAGAGCTCTCCTTACTTGAATGGAGTGCTAAAACAAGCACCAGGAAAAGTCTGCTCTCAAAGAACTTTCAACTGTTTAGTAAAAATATGGTTTTTATTCTGGGGTAGCCCAAGATAGAAATGTGGAAATATTTTGACAAGGGTTTTGACACAGAAAATAGGGTAGTAAGATGGGGTAAATTTTTTCTATTAAAACATCTTTGATGCTTTAGATGTGATGCCACATCTACCTGATCTCCAGCACCAACATCCTCTTCATTCCTGTGTAGATGAACACCTTGGGCAATATCAGGTGACTGCTGTTCCAGTGCCACTAAAACGTTACAAGTCTTGTAGTCAAAGCCTATTTGGAAAAAAGAATAGCACTGAATTAGCTTTTTCTGTCACAATTAGGGAAAGTAACATGGAACCATATGACAAAATTTTCATTTTATATAGGATACCACATTCAGAACTCAAAATCTTTCCACTGTTTTTAGTAATTATTTTGTAAATATCACACTTGAAACCTTTTTTAGGATGGTGTGGGGTATACAGGATTGCCTTTATTGCTTGTTACTGCTTATTTTCTCCTGCACTGGTTCCCTGCACCAAGCCAATTCAGATTATGAATTGTCAACTCAGAAAATTAGACAAAAAGGTAAATAATGAGCCTCTCCCAAATAAATAGTAATAAAACCTTCTACACAAATTCCTAGAGGCTGATGTTTTCAGCAACTGAAGGCTCTGCTCTCTAACACATTGTTTGTAATACATGTAAGGTAGTGTCGGTACCTAAATCTCTCACAGGACTTTGTGCGAACCACAAACAGAGGAAAAAAACAGATTCAAGTGTCACAGCAAATCTTGAAGTGGGAATTTACATGACTTTCAAAGACCAAAAGTAAGGTTTTAAAAAGAAATTGAAAGAAGACTGTGCCAAAATTTTCCACCTGTTCCTAGGTATATAAATAATAACTTGTTTCTCTCCAAATTCAACCTTTCCTAGAACTGTAGCCACTGACAGCTGCTGACCAAACTCATGTTCAGTCAGTACAACATATATACATGTCCACGTGCATATGATTCACTTGAATGCTCTTCACCCTCTTTTAAGTAGTCTATGTAGAGAAGAAAATTGTATCTTCGTATACCATTGTTTGGTTTAGGTTTTGTTTTACTTCTAGAAATTTTTTTTATTGGGTCACTGCAACTCCCTTCATAATTTTGTGGGCAGTTAGGATAAACAGGAGATTTATGACCTACTAGATTTGCCAGTGTTCTCTGTAAGCACTGCTGTTACATGACAGTGGAGGAAACCTGCAGATGTGCTGCTGTAATATTCTCCCACCACAATCTCCCTGCAAATTCAATAGCAATTAAAAGACTGCAGTAAACAACTTCTTAACCAAAAGCTCTTAAAAAATACACTTCACTGTAACAGAATACTTGGAATATTTATACTGTATAAACAGACACATGCAAATCAGAAAGCAAAATGCGTTTGGTACATAGAGCATTTTGTCTTTTTAATCATTTGCACATCACACAAACCAGGTCTGCACTGCACCCTCCTCATTGTAGAAGTAGTTATTCAGAGCACCCTCCACACTGAGAATCAGCTTTACACCTGGAATTCCAGATGGTACCACAGTACAAAAATATAAAGGTACAATGAAATGAATTAGATTTCTTCTCTCTCTTTCAAAACAAGATGCATCAATCTGCTTGGCAAATGAAAAACCAAGAGTCAAGTTCTTGCAAGTTTGGAGGAGTAGTAAGTTCTGTGCCTCAAGCTGCAGTTAACTATTCTGGCCCAATACCACAGTTCAAAGTATAGTCTGTCTATTCCCAATTCAGTTTTAACTAATAAGTGGCAGTTTCTTTCTTACTGGGATAAAGCCAGAAAGTGTATCATGTAGCACCATGTAAGCAACTGTCAAACAGTACACTGCGTTTTTATCAGGCTTGCTAAAGCCCATGTATGGAATTGGTGACAGACCTGTTTTGCAGTTGCCTATTGCTTGCTTTTCCAGGATTTCATGAGTTTTTCCACCAACCTTTAGCTGAATCATCATAGCCAATATGTCTAATTGCATCTCGGACAACTCGCTGATAATCCACAATAGCACGAGATGTGATCTCCCCGCAGAGCAACACCATTCCTGTCTTACATACTGTCTCTGAAAAGAGAAATTAAAACAATAGCAGAATAAGCCAGCCTACTAAAACAAATAACTGTGTTTGCGACAATGGTGATTTTGAGAGATCTATTGGGTGTATAGAGTGCAAATCCTTTCTATCCATATTTTTAGCATTATTATCTCCTTCTATAACAAATTCATTTCATATTCACTATATGCCTGAAAGTAAGGAAAAGACTAACATGTCCTATTTACAAATGGGAAAGTCAAAACACTGAGCATGATTCAGTGATATGCATCAACTTAAGAGAAATTTAACATTAAACCATGATTTTTAAATCCACACAAACAGTCTAAGGTATATAGTGAGGCTAAATAAAACTAATCAGTGATCAACTATTTTGAAAACTTGCCTCCAGAAGTCAGGAGGAAGAATCTGAAGATGGGATTTAGTTACACAATAAATTAACTGTAGTAATAACCTGAAATTTGATGGTACAACTTCTAAGTAGATTTCAAAAAACAAGCAGGAACTTGGACTGAAAAAATAGTACTTTATTAAATACAGTAAATGAACTTTTCCCAAATCTTCGTTCGTGAAGCCTAGCCATGAAATGAACTTTTCAACAAAACATTCAAATATTCTTTCAAAAATCCACTCTAGTCAATCCAAATCTGTTTCTCCCAGGACAATTCAGTCCACACACAAAATCAACAGCCCTATTCTTCTACAGCCCACTTAGGCTTCAGCCTTTATAAAAGCTTTTACTGTTTCTTCTCATCTCTTCTTCTCTTCAAGACTGAAATTCTTATGTCATTTTTTGAGAGTGAAATGAGCTAGCTCTTTTCAACATCCTAAAAGAAGAATGTGTGATGACTTAAAGCAAAGTAGCAAACAACTTACCACAAGCAACCTTGGCATTTGGGTCCTGTCTGAGGTGGGCGTCTAGTACAGCATCGCTGATTTGATCACAGATTTTATCTGCAAGACATCAAAGCTGGGATTCAAAACCACAGCACTAAATACAAACCATGGACTGCTTGCCCCGCTTAGAGTAGGTATTTCAGAAAGGAATTCTTTTATTGCTTATTACTGGCATATTTAATCCAGCTAAATAGAAAGACATATGAAACATCCTGCAAACAAACTCTGTAGATACAGTGGGGAATTTACTTACTGGTGTAAACTAACAGTGACTATAACTTTACCTGTAGTTTTTTGCACTTAGGTGTGAAACAATGAACAGAGAATGAGGTTTTCCTCCCAGCCTTCTCCTTCTCTAACACCACAAGCCAATACAGCATGCCCTCCACACCAGGGATATTCTAACAGAACAGTGATGTTTCACCACCAGCTTCCATTGCCCTTGCAGAAAGTTAGAATGTACCTGACCAACCCTGTGGGCAAAGCCTAAGAAAGTATTTAGGTTAATACACATAATGCACAGGTCAGTGGAGAGCTTGTTTCAGGTTTGCTTTTTGTCACTGCTTCCTACCATCCAGCAATGTTGCTCCCTAAAAATGCCTGCACCCAAGGCAGTGGAGGGAGCACACACAAAAGCAAGAAGGGTTTATCAACTGAAGTTTGCCTGAGGTAAATCTTTAGTTACCTGCCAAGTACAAAGGTTTCAATTCAGGTTTATCATAAAAATCTTTTATCTTTTTCTTTCTTTGAATCTTATTTAAATAATGTTGCTAATCTAACGAACACAAAAGGGCAGCACCCACAGCAATGCCTTCTACACGAAAATAGTAAATTTTCTCATATAATTTAATTGTATAATTCTTAAAAAAAAAAAAAGTCCAGTATTGCATACTGTGTTTAGACTTCGCCATAACATGCTGTGTGGCAAAATAAATTAATCTCCTGTGCAGCACGGTCTGTTGGAAAGCAACGTTTTGTAAGAGTCTGTCATTGGAGGCCTTTAATACATTTAACCTCAAATCAAAACAAATTCTCATTTATTTTCAGGAAGATGGTGTACATTTAGCTAAGAGGGACAAATCAAAGACTGGAGAACTAATGTGATTCTTGCACTCTTGTCTCCCATATTAACTACTTCAACACAAAAAGAGGGAACATGAAAGACAATTAACAGATGTCAGCTGCATTGGAACTTTCAGCCTTACAAGAACTGTACATGGATTACTAAATTTGGGACAATTATTACCAAACAGGAATCAGATACCATTCTTGCAGTTTAATCAGATGTCCAATTGAACCTTGTTTAGCAAACCTGGGGACAAAGGTGGCAGGGGTGATTTAAATCTATCTCTGCCTATCTCTTCAAATTTCTCAGATTTATAAGGAAATAGAGCCATATTTTCAAGCGTAAAAGCAAAAATTATTGATAAAAATATGTAATTTTTGATTACCTAGGTAAGACAACAAAACAAAGGGGGTTAGAATGGCCCTCCTAGTGCAGGTCCACTGCCCTGTAGTAAAGTCCAAGTGGCTGGGACTGTTTTTTAGTCTTTTTTTCACCACCCAGAGTTCCTATGCCATGAACACCTTTATCCCTGTCCTTGCTCTGCATGAAGCATGCCAGCTGGTACAAAGAACGTTACGTTGGTTTTGCATGCTGTGGTTGAAATTAATTAATGAACTATAACTACCATGAAACATCTTAAGGGACCACGAGCCATAGCAGCCAGTGAAATCAGTAAGTGAAGATTTAACAGAATGCTTTCATGAGGTTGGTTGTTGGGTTTTTTTAAAAATTAACTGTATCATTAGTATCTACAGTATTTCATGGATATTGAAAGCAGCTTTTTTGCTTCCTTCCCTGAGAAATAGACCAGCAAACACTCCTGAACAAAAAGTATAGTCCACATTTACAGAAGGAGAGAGTTTGTCTTACAAAACTGCTGCTGTAAAAAGATTGTGATAGAACCCAGAGGGACAGTCATCCATAGAAATTACATTATATCCATACAACAGTATTAGACTGCTACAGAAATACTAAATTTTGGTGCTGGTATTCCAAAGATGAAGTTAAGAAGCTGTGGGAAGGTTTAAGCCAGACTGAGAAGGATGCCCTAAATCCGAAAAGTCTACCTTACAGGATTATATCAATCAAACTCAATCTAGTTTTGAAAGACTAAAGAAGAGGCAACCTACCAGAGGAAATCCCTACAGGCACTGGGATCACAGTCTCTAAGAACCCAAAAATACTATGCTGAGAGAAAAGCTTTTTTCTGATGGGCAAGAATATAACTACAGGTGATAAATGAAAATAAAAAGAGACAGATAAAGATTCAAAAGGCAAAATCTTAAATCTTTCAGAGCCACTGAAACCATTCATCTAGAGGCACTTAGGATTCCTTGTTCCTTCAAATCACCACATGAAAATTAGATATAATTTTAAAAGGTATAAATGAAATTCAACCATCATTTACTAGCTTGTCTGATGAATTCTTGCATGAAATAATATTACCTGTGTATGAAGGTCAGACCAGACTATATATTGGAGGTCACTTCTGGCCTTTAAAATCTATGTGAGAATCTAATCAATGAAAATAATAAATTAGAATAATTTAGTGTACCATGCTGAGAATGTACCTTTAGATTTAGTCTGAGGCAAATCAGTTTGATAATTCATGACATATCTGATTGTTAGTGCAACATCCAGCAGATCTAATGCAACTAGATCTCCAAATACAGATACAGACATATCTATCAAGACTGGAAAGAGAAATCTAGCTGGATGATTGGCTGATTAATGCATTAAATTAAAGGTATGTCTATTAGCAAAGGTCTCGGGTGTAAAATAAAACCAGGCACTCTATTTTTAGTAATGCTAAGCAGGTTTTGTGCACCTTTCATTCTGTTATTCAAATTTCTCATCTCAACCATCTCATTTCTCTTATTAGCTGCTAAATAAGAGAGGATATGCTTCTTTCTTTCTTTTCTTTGTTTTTCCCTTTCCTTTTGGAAACAGGGAAAGCATAATGGACCACCTCTGGTGAGACATTATCATTTTTAAAAGATGCTTTCAGAGGTCAGAATTCAGTTCATGCATCCTTCCATGTAGTGAATTACTATCCAGTAGGGTAACTATTGCAAAAGAGATGTCTAAGCTAAGGATTTCTTGCCTGAGCACAAAAGTATTAGATGACCATGAGTTCTTTTCATGAAATCAAATCATCCTACAGACTTATCCTTATGGTAGAGATGTCAAATAACCATGAAACAACTCTTGCTAACTAAAAAATTAGTCTACGGAGACAGATGATAAGACCAGCCCTCAAAAGTCCAGTTGTCATATTATGAAGTAAAGGAGTAAACAACAAAAGTGATCTCCAATAAATAGAAGGAGCTTCACAGGTTCCAGATAGTAAGATATAAGTTTTTTACATGAATCTACAATATTTAAGAGCCTAACACAAGTTCTCAGGACCTTCCCAGGAAGTTTCTCAGACTCATCACGCACAGACAAATCTATGAACAGCAGTAAAACCTGAAAATTTAATTTTAAAAAGCTCCATTTTTTGAAGTTCAACAAACAGGTGCAACCACACTTCTGACTTCGATGGTGTAGTAAATATAATAAACTCTGACCACCTGAAATGCCAAGGTTGACTTTCTTCAAATCCTGTGATCATTAAAATAAAATTCAGTATTTTTAATGGTATTTTATTTATATCAATAGAAAAAAAAAGATAATTTTCAACTACAATGTGAAATTTTATATTCAAAATATGGAAAACTGAGCAATTCTCAGTTTTCTGGTTAAAAAAACAGTGAAGAAATGCAGATACTTATCATGAGCATTTCATCAAAAAATGAGCTTTTCACCAAAAACGTTTCACTAGAAAGACTTCAAATAGCTTAAATATGCAGTACATTTTTCCTATTTAAAAGACTCTTGAGGAGTGCTAGTTGATAGCTGCAGTGATATTGCACTATTAACACTGTTTAAATATCTTGTACATCTGTTCTCTGTTCAATGTGCAGTTTACTGAAGTATTATGTATATCATTAGGTATATATAATCTTAGATATAAGACAAACAAGAATCAACTTGCTGGAAGGATCTGCATTTTCTGGTTTTTTGGTTGTTTTTTTTTTTCTTTTGTGATTTTTTTTTTCCCCCCTGTGAATATCTAGGAGATAAACATATGCTTTTAATATGGTTGAAAATCTGAGGGTGCTTTTAGCAGATGTTTGCTCTTATATTTTTAAAGATTCCTTGATACTTTCTGGAAAACTGAACGACATTTAGTTTGCAGGAAATTCCACCTGAAGTCACACCAAATAGGGGAAGGAATTATTCCTAAGTGGTTTGACATCTGTAAGACATTGTGGGGTAGAGAAACACTCAATGCCTTTCAAAGCATCGTGAAACTATCGTGCAGCACAGACATGACTGGACTAAGTAAAATGGAGCAGTGACAAAAACCAGCTAACTAAATACAGAATCTTTCTCTTGCTCATGCTACTGTCTGTGTGCTTTTATTATTCTATTGAAATGCAGACCTCTTCATAGAATTCGGAATTTACCCCACTAAATGACTAAATGATTAAAGATCTGAAAGGGATTCCCAAATGTTACACCCAAGAATCTGGACTGAGAAGATGGGATAAACAGTCTCCTATAATATCTCTGGGGAGCAGAGGTAATACCTGTATGTCAATTACTGGTAGCTATTACTTGCTTCCATGGAATTTGGGCTTCTCAGTGACACCCAGCTCCAGGCATTGTACAGGTATACAATAAATAAGCACGTAATTTCTCCTGCTTTGTGCATTAAGGAGGAAGTCTCCATTAAAGCGCTCAGTCCTCAGCTAATATAATCAGAACAATTCAAATTTCCACCAGACAAAGATGCGGTTCAGGATCTTTACTTCACATAATGCCCTCTAGCAAAATTATGCTATCAGATACGGAAGAGAAATAATCAAGAACACGCAAATTATCCATTTTGTATGAACAGAGGAAATCAAAACTCACAATAAAATTCTATTGCTACAGATAACGTCAGAAGTCCAACTACAGCCCCAGGCACTGGGCCCCATTTTAAGAAATAACCAAGATTTTCCTGGGTGATAAAATCCTAGCAGCATGTCTACACCTCTTGTACAAAACCAGAGAAGGAAAAGGGGGAGCTGGCCAGGATGTAAGGGAGATCAATTTGCTGTCAGGAACCAAGAGCTACAGCTGAGACAATTAAGCTCCCTTGCTGGGCTATGTTCAGGAACAAGAATTTGCTGGACCACCCAGAGTTACTTACTGCCAACCTGCCCGCCTTTGATCTGGAAAATCTGTATCTTCCCTTTGCCATAGGGTTTGGGTTTTCAGTACCCTACTTGGAGATCTAGGCTGTTTAAGAAGGTACAAGCATCACAGTCTTGAAAATATCCAAGTAATTTTCCATTTTCTACTCACTCCACAACGAACCTCCAAGTGGTCACTTCGCATCTCAGAGTACCCAGAGACCCACCAGGGTAAGAGGCTGTACGCACATCAGACAAGTGGTAACAGTGTTTCTCAAGGGCCTGCCCAGTGTTTAACAACCTGAGAAAAATAATGTTCATGGGCCTTAAAAGAAAGTTACTGAGGACCTATAGAGTGTTTGGAAATAAAGAAGAGAATGTGAAGAAGAACTGAAAAATAGGCCAAACTCTAAAACAAGAAACAAGATAAAAAGAAAACCGGTAAAGGAAAGAAATCAAGGGACAAAGCTAAACCTGGGGACTCAGTTGAACTCTTTCTGCTCCGAGAGTTCCCTATTATTGCCCCAAGGGGATTAAAAATAATGATTAAGAGTAGCATAAATTGTGACCTGTCATCTTTGGAAATACCATCATCCATTTAAAATTACCATATTGTATAATGTTATTTTTTTCTATGAAACTACATAGCTCTACAAATGCTGGATGTAATTATACATAAATTTGAGATGGGACCTATGTCCCAAGGACAAAACCTGGCTGTCATTTTCTGATTGTGTTACATCAGAAAGAACCCCAACTGGTTCAACCTGATGTAGCTGCCTCCCCATTGATGGAGACATACTCAATTGCATCAGCCATGGATTTGATCTGTAGTAATAAGTTTATATCATAGGAGTATCAGAACTATAGACACAAATTCTCATTGCCGACCTTTTTATCCTCTACTATGTCATTCTACCCATTTATGAGTTACTCTCATAACATAAAACACAAACCTGAAAAAGCCTTATTGTAGCAAAAAGTACAGGCCACCAAATTGGCTTCTAAAACAAATACACTTTTCAGGACATCAAATAGCCTATTGTCCCCTGGCCTCACTTGAGGGAACAGTTGCTGTTGACACAAGGTACATGTTTATGGTGGATGAATATTTGTTTTCAATAAAATTGAACTAATCTCTGCTGACCATACATAAAGTTTAGCAAATAACTGTCCACTATTTGCTTAAGCAATTCCATATATTGCATCAGATGATGGAAAGGGGCGGGAGGCAGTGGGGTTGGAAATCAGCAATTTTGCCCTGTACAGCTGCTGGGACCACTAAAAAAAGGCTTTAAAACAGGCTGCTTAGGGATATTCCAGTCATGGGGTGACAGTTTTAGAGCATTGCATATGTGGAGGACAGTTTCACAGGACCCATAAAGATATAGAACTTGAGAAGTAAGCTATGCATTCTTATCCATATGTGAAACTTGAGTCTGTCAGAGACACAGTAGTGTCTCCACAGGAATACTGAAAGAAATTCAGATGAAAAGGAAGGAGCAGCAACATAAACCTCAGTGCCCTCCTCAGTTTAACACACACCCTGCAAAAGCACGTAAACTGTTGGAAGCACACTAGTTATAGCAGTTCTGTAGTCCAGTAAGTAGAAAAGAAGTAAAAAGCACCTTGTTACATATAACTTCTATAATAAAATTAATAGCAGATAAATTCTTCTTCAGACTTTTTAAAAAGATTCATCTTCAATGAAAATACTATTCTTTTTACACTTTTACCAGAGCTGGTTTCTTACCTGGATGTCCTTCTCCCACTGACTCCGACGTGAACATGAAAGCCCCTTCATCATCCAGCGTGTAATCACATAAACCATCCACTGGTCCATTCATGGTTGTGATGCTTTTCCTGATGAATTACTATAAACAGTGGTTGAAGAGTTCTACCTTTAGTACCTTCTCTTTAAGGAGAAGGTTCTTTATCAGCAGGACTATCACTGTCTTCACTTGTCACCTCTTTCGCTAACTTGAATTTCAGTGTGTGCAAGCAGCATACGCTTGCATCTGTGCATGCACACAAGGAGAACGCATGTGCCTGAAGTCTGTATCCCTACCTAGCCTGATCTGTCAGTCCCTGAGCTGCTCCTATATATGGAAAAGTGAAAGTGCCTAGATAATCATGTGAGGAAAATGGAAGAGCCCATTTCTTGGCAGGGGAGTTAGTTAACTTTAGGATATTTCACTAATTAACTCAGTTCTTGGAAACTTTCTGGATTCAACCTGTGCAAGATTGGTTATCTGAGCAATTCAACCGAGAACGAAGTAATGCAGGAGTACTAGTGACAGTTCAGGGCAGCTGCTTCTTCAGTTTGTCTCTCCCCTAATTCTGGGATCTATGTTGTGCTTCCAGCTGTGTGTTGAGGTTTTACAGGATAGATACAAACTCTGTAAATACATGTCTTTCCTAACAAAAGACTGGAAGAAGTTTGCTCTGTGTCATGTAACTATTTTCTTTTTACTTCTACAGCTCTAGAAAAGTAGAATTCTCTCCTTAAATACTTCTTTTTCATTTTCATTCATTCTTCATGCACATTTGAGAGACAAAACATCTGATAAGATCTAGCACGTCGGCTGCTTCTCATTTACGCAGACCTCTCCCTTTAGCCTTTGTTTTTCTTTTCTCGTCCTCTATTAATCCAGATCAATTTCAATTATATTTTTATATCATATTCTCATATTATATTCCATCACCCTTAGAAATATAGTAACTGCCACATCTGAGCACTCAGTGATCAGTTCTGCTATGGAAAATTACTTGTCAGATGGCTCGTGTCTGGAATATGCTGATGGTATGCCAGGTATGAAGACAGATGGCATTTTGTGGGTATTTGTGTCTTTAAGTTACTATATAACAAACAAGTAAACATAACCATAAGGCAGATCCACAAAATGCCCAGCACTAGTGCACCATTATAAATAAGTGTAATTACCCTTAATTCTTTTAGAAGAACCATTATAATCTCAATTTCAGACCAAAGCACAGGTCTATCAAAATAAAAATTTCTCTTTACTTCAATGCACTCTGAATCATACTGTCTTAATCATTCAAAGTGTACCTGGTACTTGGATTGCAATGTGTTCCACAGCCTTTGCCATTTTGACAGCAATGAAACCCTTATCACTCTTCAATTTAAAAACATACTTAGTTTACTTCAAACTAAGTAAACTTGATTATTTTCAAAAATCCCTTTATGTGGTTCCTTGGATTCAAATTTCTGCGTTGTTACATAGTTATGTAAGAATTCATTAGAATTTTCACTTTCTGCCTACATTCCTGAAAACAATAACCAGTGCCTGTGAATGTTCACCAGTAATCTGCTGCAGCATTGGCCCCTCTCTAATTATCATTGACATGAAATCGTTCATTTCAAATATTTTTTCTTGGTTTTCCATTGTAGACAATTTGTCTCGTGGAATGATGAGCACTGGTTGCACTTAAAAACATGGACAATGCACACGTCAGATACACATTATGAGGGACAGCTTTCCCTTCAGTAAACTGTCATCACTGACATGAAGATACTATCCCAGCCTGAATAAATTACGCATTAACACACCCAGAAAAAGAATAACTAACTATATTAACCCTAGTTAATGGGTAACATTCAAAGACTATATTACCTTTTGAAGTGATAAACATTCATTCGTAAATACAAATGTTTTGTTGTTTTTTGTTTTTTTTCTTATGGAAGCACCAAAAGACAAAGCAAATGGATGAAACAACACTAACAAAACCCCTTTTTGTACACAAAAAGTTTCTTAGAAAGAAAGAATTAGAAAGAGTTTTCTTTCTAATTCTACAAGCAATCATCCAGTAAAGGGAGATGAGATCAAATATTGTCAGTCTGTGAGTTCCACTCTCTCTTGCTTCTGGTTTTGCTCTTTCTTGGTTTTCAATGCCACTTAAAGAAAGAAACTGTAGTTTGGGAATCAGCATTCATGTTTTGAAGGTAACACTCAAGCAGAATGCAGAAGCAGGCCTCTCTTATCACATATAAAAATAAAAAAACCCACAAGCTCCTAAAATGATGAAGAGCACAAGTAATTTGACATATACAAGGAATGAACTTGCAGGACCACTGTTTATTTTGCTTTTACAGTTCTTCTTTCTGGACTCACTTCTGTCTAGTTAAATTCATTGGTCCTTGAGACCTTTGGAGGTCACCCCTTCATTGAAACATCCTCTCTGGTACTAGTACTCTAGAAATGTTGCACAGCTGCATTTCACATTAACTTGTGTATTAAGTTCAAACCCCAGTTTGAACTTCTTCTGGCTGTGGTTTTACTATCAAGAGTAACACATTTGCTTTATGGCCATGAAGCACCTCAGCGTGTTCTCTTCTAGGACATCTGTGACCAATGCTAAAGCACTGTAGGGTTAGGTAATGTTTAATTTGGCTTCTCTTCCCAGACAACGTGACGTTTTAAATATTTGTAAAAAGGTAAGATAGTGCTCTACCATCATGTCTTTTTGGCACAGCACTTCTGCCTATGAAAAAGAAAAAAAAAGATGATAAAAGAATGATTGATATCAGCGTTTTTCCCTATTCCATTTTATTGATAATGACTCATCACTCCATGTAAAAGGCTTCCAAATTTTCTACTAAATTTCTTGCCATAATCAACAGCTTTGTAGACTGAGCCCTAATAAAGTTTCTCTGTAAATCTCTTTATGGTTCATATATTGTCCATTGCATTGTATTATGTTTTGACCACATTCTATGACCTCAGAAGATACCCAGTGGTAAAATCTAAATCAATGACTCCTGTGCTTTGAAATGAGGCTAAAGACAGGAAAATAATGATGTGAAAACAACACTGCCCTTCTATATTGCTCCATATCGAGTATAATGTCATTGCAACCACTGGAATAGCAACATGAATCTTTCTGTTACCTAAAAGAGTCTTCTTATTTGGAATCATCCCATGATTTTGCTACTTTTACTCACAGCAGTCCTGCAAAACAATCCCTCTTCTAGTTCATATAACAAACACTTAACACCTGCCAGAAGGCATGGGTTTACTGGAGTCCTGAGGAAACCTTGAAAGTAATGAACAAGATAAAACTGACAAAAAAATTTTATCAGTGATGGCTATTGATGCTGCTGATTGTCTAGACAGATAGGATTGATAATTGCCTTGGCTCTAGAGCTCATGACGTTCTCAGCAGATCATTTAACTTCTCCTTTTCTCTTTTTCTGCCTGTATTTGCTTTTGCCCCTTTCCCTCATTTTTTCTTGCTTATATCCATTTGGTTAAAACAGATTTCCCTTCCTTCTTGGTTTCTTCCTTTTACTTAGTCCTTTCCACCTCCCTATCTGTCACTACTGATGTCCCTTTTAGGTTATAAATCACTGAACACGGAGTCTATGTGGACGAATTATGTTTGTAGAAATGAAAAGAACAGGTTTGAGCCAATAGATTACAGATAAAACACTATCACAGCAGAAGGGGAAGGAAGAAAGTAGGTTTCTTTAAGATTTGATTATCCTCACTTCAGTAACAGAAGAATCACGTTTTCCCTGGAAGCAGTACAGGTTTACACTCCACTCCTACTGTTTTGCCATCATGGTAACTCTTAGGTAGCTTCTTTTGAGTGAGGAGTGAATTGTATCAAGAGCTCTGAAGAAATTCCACGTTACTAGAATCAGTCAAGGGAAAACCATTTCTTAAGCTATGTAATTTGTCTCTCTCATCACATCTTTCAAATGCTGAGGAGAATGACTTGATCTGTAGAGAGCACACACTTCACAGTAACTCAAAGTTACAATTGCACTGTTAGTGAAGACCCCAAACATGCTTAAGTTTAGCATTATACAGAAATACTTCATGCACACAAATAATGTCAGAAAGTGTTTTCCTAAAAAATTCTGTTTTGTTCTCTCATCTTTATCTTCAGATAAGACATTATTTACCAAAGTTAACTGTTTAAAAGTCTAGCAGTTTAAGTTTCTTATTTTGCTTTTCTATTCTCACTTCATGAAAGGAACTTACCCCTAAGTAATGCTTGTGGAAAGAAAACACTTTTGCAAGTGTTTACAAAAACAACTTTAACATTAGTTTCATTTGTACTGTTTACTATTAGTAGTTCGTATAATACAAATAATGTGTTTTCAAGGAGTTACTGCAGTCCATCTTTTTTCCTATTGGAAATACACACTAATTATGCCAGCTTCATGGGAATGTCTTTGAGGGCTTTTTGGTTTGTTGATGAAAAGCCTTGTCTTAGCCTGTACATTTTGGTTTAGAGGAGGTAGATGTTTTGTTTCGGTTTTGAAGTTAACATAGGGAAGATTTTTCAAGTTGTGTTTATTTCCTTTGCACGAAGAATGACAAGAGCAAAAGAGTTTGAACATCGGGAACTCAAGATCTGCTTCCCACCTGCTCCAAAACACTCACCTCTATCTATTGTTACCAGAGAGTGGCTCAAGGTCTCTCAGATGTGCAGGTGTAGAATTTCACTGGCCCATAAACATTCAGGGTAAAACACATACTGTGGAGCAGAAAAAAAGAGCTGTGATTGTAGAAGGAAAGAAGGTAGTATGTGCCCTGAGATGGGTGTTCATCACCAGCATTTATTCTTTCATATCACCTTTCACCTTCTCAGGATGGGAGCATGGGACTTCCTGCAACCCCTGCACAAGACCATAAGCAATTCAGCTCTTCCATTCTGGAGGGTTTTTATGACTTTTTGAATGAATACCAATTTCAGCCAGAGTAATTCATTGATGTGCATTCTATGTAACTCATTCCACAGTTATGTCAGCTTTATCTCTGCTGTATCTCCCATTTGCCTTCCCTTCTGCTCCCTAAGAAGTCTTTTGGTGTTCCTTCCATTACTAATATCAAAGAAAATAATTAATTTTGCTTCTCTCCCATATGCTTGTCTTCTTTGTATCTGTTTGACCTCAAATTCTCTATTCTAATATATCCCTGAATCACAGAATATTTGAGGCTGGACAGTCTCAAGTCCAACCCTCTGCTTAAAGCAGGCCCAACTTGAACAGGTTGCTCATGGCCATGTCATGAAGTAACATGTGCCAGGGCTTTCTACATGAATGGCAACTTTTAATTTGCTTCTTAGGAAAGAATTAAAGCTATACTGGGAGCTAAATTCTGATT